ATGCCAATAGTACTTTGCTCAGTAGCCATCTGTGGTCGCATATGTTTTAAGATTGTTGATTACCTTAAGAAAATATAAATATTATTGTTAAAATGATAAAATATCGAAGAAGGTGAAAACACAGCTCCTTACAGATTCATTCCATATGAGCATATGTTTCCTAAGATACTGTTGATACTCAATTTGGCCTCGTTTATTAAAATATTACATGTGGATATGTTTTAAATCAATTATTTTATTTTTATCTTATTTTTAGGGCCAAAAAATAACACCGCTTGTGATAATATCAGGCCCACCAAAGATAAATATATATAAGCTCCCAATGATGGACATCAGAAGATAAGTCTGAGGGATTTCTCTTATCTTTCTTTTTCCTTTATCCTAAGAAGCGAGGCAGTGCAGAGAAGATATCATCTTCTTCTTCGTCTTCTTCTTGAATTTTTCTTTTACCTATTTTTAAATAAATTCAACAAATTTGATATATACAAACAGTGTTACGTTGATCAAATTTTGTGCATCAACAGTTTGACGCTAGAGGAAGGGCTCTGAGGTTTTGAGGTCGGCCTTGCTTTGAAGTCGGGCTAGTTGTGGCGATTCAAAGATCCGATCTGGGTGATAGAGATCCAAGTGTAATATTTTAATAGACGAGACCAAATTGGATATCAAAAGATACAATAAAAAAAACCAGATTTAATTCAAGCTAAGTGGATGTATGCTTGGATAATAGCTCAATATAGTATTTAAATGAAGCAATAAAATGTGAATTTAATTTGTCTCTATATAGACTTCTCAGAGCATTCACAATGCTTTGGGTTCATTAACAAAAATATGCATGCCACATAAGAAATAGATTGAGTGAAGAAAAATTTGTACTCCAATACAAGTGCAAGTGGACCGGGTCCTACTTATATGTCAGCCAGAAAAAGAGACCCGGTCTAGCATTAAGTCTATTTTGGACCCAAGTAGAGACATAGTCTCTTTGCATTGGAGTTAAATTTATTATTTTTATATATTTTTGTCAATGTCATCTAAGACTTAGATCTATTTATATACCACGTAACCACAGGGACGGATCTAGCAAATATAATGAGGAGGGGCCAAATTATTTAATGAAAAATTATAAAATATTATAACGAAAAGGGTAAATAAAAAAACATACCTTCATAGTCGTTCTTTACGAGTTTTCATGGCCTGATATCGCTCGATAATAACATCATTGCCAATTTTCAAGAACGTTTCCTTTTCTACATAAACTAGTAGTCTATCATTTAACCAATCATCACTCATTCGATTGCTCAATCTATCCTTAATAATATTCATTGCGGAAAATACTCGTTCCACGCTAGCTGTTGCAACCGGTAAAACTAACGCCAAAGTTAAAAGTTTATAAACTAAAGGAAACACTTTGTGCTTATTCGTCTGCACCAATTTCTCTGCAAGTTCACCGAGTCCATTCAACTCTTTAAACAAATTGTTGAAGCGCATATCAACAATATAGTTCTGCAACTGATCCTCAAGAATGAGAACATCAGATATCGAAGAGTCTTGAGGATAAAACCCGTCCAGCTTGACTAATTTGCCCTTGTCGAAAGCAGAAAAAGAATCTCGTGGAGATAAACAAGCTATACAAAGTAGCAACTCCGTACTAGCCTCCGAGAAACGATCATGTAACTCTTGTAGTTGCAAATCAATCACAGCACAGAATAAATCAACTCGATAGTGATGCAAATTCATTATTTTGGGTGCATTACGAAGTGGACGACCGCGAGGATCAAAGCGAATAAACATGCTAGTCATATCGGGGACATCAATAGAATGTTTCTCACAAAACTGACAAACCTCGTTAAACAATAAATCCCATCCACTATCTCTCAACTCTTGAAGTCGATATTTACAAACTCTAACCAAATCCATTGCATTCATTATATCTTGGTGTCTCATTTGTAGTGCTTGGGACAACTCATTTGATATTCCAAGATGATTTTCATCATATGCAAATTTAGCACAAATTCAAAGCAATGAATTGACTTCAATGATATCTCCACCTCTACTTTTTGGATAGAAGTAGAATATTCATCCGCATAGATCACATCAAGAACATCACCCATGGGAGAAAATAAAGAAATCAAGCTAATCAAAGATCTATAATGCGAGCCCCAACGTGTATCACCGGGCCGTTGAAGACTAGTTTCTTGGTTTAGACCTCGTCCACTTGAAATCTCACCCCTTTCTAGTGCCCCATCAATATAGCTCATTTTTTTTGTCACGAAAAAGATCACAATGTTTTGAAGAACCCCCAACAACATTTATCAATTGAGAAACCACCCGAAAAAAATCAGCAATTGAAAGATTCTTTGTAGTCACGGCTACAAGGGCCAGTTGGAGCTGATGAGAAAAACAATGCACATAATGTGCACTTGGATTCTCATTTAAAATAATAGTTTTTAAACCATTACGCCTCCCTTGCATATTTCTAGCCCCATCGTAACCTTGCCCTTGCAATCTAGATGGAGTGTGGATGACCTGCTTGATGTCTTTCTTCTTTGAGTAAAACTGGACCACACCGAGGAATATAGGGATGAGAGTAGAATAGCATCTAACACCATTGAAGACAATATTGTCAAACTCTTCTGATCGACAAGAATTATGTACAACTAGCCTATTCACACCAAGCGACAATTGTCCCAGTACCCAATATCCAACACCATTTAGATTATGTCTCGACAACATCTTGTAAATAGCGTCTTTAAGAGAAATAGCCGTAGTACTTGTGACATGTTCAACTCCAATAAAATGTTCTTTTACATGACCATAAGAATCTACATATCTCAAGATGACAGACATTTGCTCTTTAGTTGATATGTCACGTGATTCATCAACCAAAATAGAGAAAAAAGAATCTCCGACATCTTTTAATATCGCATTAACAGTTTCTGGGGCGCAAGCATAAGATAAATCTTTCAAAATGCAAGGAGCTGTTAACTTGCAATTTTTAGGAGCATTTTCCATTGTCCCCGAAGCAATACCATCATTATGAGCTCTTAAAAATTCCAGAGTGACAAGAAAATTACCTGGATTAAGAGAATCTTTCGATTCATCATGACCCCGTAAAGGTAGCCCTAATCGCAACAAATGTCGTGCACAGTCAAGAGATGGAGGGAGCCGAATGCGATAATAATCTCTCACTTGTTTAGATTGTTTTTCTCAGCTGTTTGAATGTGCACATTTTGATTCCTCAATGCATCACAATTCATGCGCGCTTGATTGTGTTCACTATCATGTTTCCCGACATGAACATCAAGTCTCGATTTTTCTTTCCAGGTCTAAATCCCTCTGTAACAAAGGTTTCCCCTCCTGATTGTTTTCCTCTATTTGGTTGAAAAAGATAACAATATAGACAATATGCAGCATCTTTGGAAATGCTATATTCCAACCACTCATGTTCAGTAAACCAACCAGCAATAAATCTCCTGGCCTTTGTTGATGACGCTCAGGCTTTCGTCATGGGAAAATGGTGATCAAACGGTTGACAATGATCTTTCTGCAAATATGCTCTTCGAACTTGGTCTCTAATCTATGGACTATACCTTGAGATTGGAATTCTCAATCCGGGATCAGAGGGAAGTTGAGAAGAATTGAACTCCTCGATCACCATTAAACTTTCGGACGCATTTTCTTTCTGCCCAGTGATACCAGAATTTCTCTCAAATCCATTTGGATTCAAACTATCTCCTTTAGAGACATTTTCACAAACACTTTGTTGACGGGGCCTCTTTGGAAAATATCTCTCCATATCTGATACACAAAAATAATATTATAAATTTACAATCAATTAAATTCTTTATTTTGATATATCACACATTAAAGAGCTATAACAATAGGGATTGAATTTGCAATTTCTACATAAAAATAACATATTTACTACTACCCGAAAAACAAAGAAGAATAATATTTATCTTCACCAAGATAAATATAAAAAGATTTTAATACCTTGCATGTTGCCTTCTCGAACAATTTGACAAAAAATTGATTACCTTTTTGTTTTTTTTTTCTCTTTCCCTTTCTTTTCCCTCTCTTCTGTCGCTTTGTTTTTGCCTCTGTTATTCTGTACTGATACTATGTTGCCCGCAAGAGTGAAAACCTGATGTTAGATTTTTTTTTTGTTAAGTCCTTTATATGGGCTAGTATATGGGCTAATATGTATGTAAGCTAGACTTATATGGACTAATATTATTAGCTAGGCTTATATGGGCTGTATATATGACTAATACATGGGCTTATATATGTAGGCTTATATATGGGCTATATGTATGTAGGATTTTTTGTTTTTTTTTTTTTTTCCCCGTATATGGGCTATATATGTAGGCTTATATATGGACTATATATATGTAGGGGTTTTTCTTTTTTTTTTCTTCTTTTATTTTTTTTTTCAGTGTGGGCCTAGGCCCACACTGGTCTCCATTTGCCTCCGCCACTGCGTAACCACAACCACTACAAAAAAATTATTATATTCCCACGGAAAATTCTATGGTAATATATTCCAATGAAAATTACAGCGGATATTCCAATGGTATACCTTCTGTTGGAATTATTCCAATGGAAATTCGATCAAATGAAGGGTAATGTGGTAAGTTTTCCAACAGTTAAAAAAAAAGCCAGAAGAATACCTTAATTAAGGGTAATGTGGTAAATTTTTCAACCAATACAGTGGGACCCACTACAACACAAACCCACTAACACGTGGGCCCCACCTCTAAACACCTCAATCACTTTCTCTCTCCTATCACCAGTTGTATTAAATATAGTATCTCTCTCTCTTTTTTTTTGGTACAAACTATCTCTCTCTCTTTTCTCACGCACACACACCAACACACATAACTCTCTCTCTCTCTCTCTCTCTCTCTCTCTCTCTCTATCACATACACACACACACACACACACACACACACACATACACACACCCCAACACACACACATCGTCATTTGCGGGCATCTCGGTGATGGAGAAGCTCTTTCCACGGCGGACTTCCGCAGCCGACTCCCACCGGCGACATTTTCGACAACGTGTACGACCAACAGCACAAAGTTCACAAGCTCAGTGGCGGACGAGTTCCGCCGCTGACAGTCAACAGTGCCTTTCCCGTCACCATTGTCGCCGCCATTTTCGCCGCGGACTATCACTGGCAATACTTCTGACACCATACGTGCCCAACAGAAGGTCGGAATTTCGTCATTCTTACTATGTCAAGAGGGCCGTCAACGCCGACGAGCTTGCACCTAACGGCCGGTGCCGCCGCGGCTCCAAAAACCAACGTCACTTTTGCCCGACTCCGCCGCACAAAACACAACACGCAGTTCGATCCATATACTCCCGACTCTGCCACCATTTATTATGCCGGACAAACCTCCGTCGCGCACACATACACACCACTGCGGCTGGTCGCGGCGGGGGAGATGAAAATCGCGTCGGTTGTGCCAGAGCCACGGTGCCGGAGTCACGACGAGGGAGCGGGCGCGGCGGGCGGCACGGTCGCTGTGCTAAATTAATGATTCCTTATTGAGGGATAAGTTTTGTAAATTAGATACAACTAAAGGACTTGGTTGCAATTTAAGATGTTTTAATTCTATTTCAATTCAACCCTTAGGCCAAATATATAATTTATAAAAATATATAAAAAGCATTATTTAGAATAAATATGTTTGTATACATACATATATATATATATATATTATTTATTTCAAACTAAAAAATAATATAAAAAACTAATAAATAAAAAATATTAACATACTACATAAATTATTATAATATATATAATAATTTTTTTTATTATTAAATTCGATTATTAAAGTTACTTCAATTACCAACTAATAAAAAAAATATCATGCATACATAATGCATAATATTACTAAACAAGATGAACATTAGAATGTAGGAGACAACACAATAGTGTTAAATCAAATGCACAATAATTCAATAATGCATATTAACATAAAATTGTGCATTTCACATAAATTATATTTTTTATTATTTCAACATGACTTCGACTTTATATATAAAACAAATAAATGAATAACAGAACCGATCGAATTGTATAAAATATAATATTCTTACAATTTATGAGTATATATATTATTTATTTTTGACATACAATAATACAGAATATTCAATAAAAATATAAATACTAAAATATTTTTATTATATAAATAATTTGATAAGTGCACAATCATTTAATTAAAATACACTATTAAATTATTTATTTAAATTGAAAATCGCATATACATATACACACACAATATATTGCACAATAATGTTAGACGAAACGCACATTATTGTATGTGGAAGTGCACAACATTAATTTGGTATTTCATATACTATATTTTTTCAAAAAATAAAATATTATAAAAATGTTCAATTAAATTATCAAATATAATAATATATTTTTAGTATTGATAATAAACTAATTTGATTATTTAGGATTATCCAGTTAACCGACTGAATAAACCAATTAATTCACTTCAATTCAATTGTTGGTTTGAAACAAAAGTTCGGTCGGTCAGACTTGCATGAATTTGTGCACAATAATGTCAGATGAGTTACACATTAACGTCTGTCGGACTGCACATTAGTGAGCAAACCCTATCGAACTAAGTTTTTTGGTTTAAAATTTTATATTTCGATTCAATTATATATATCTACTTATGAAATTTTGAATATTTAGGTTCAATGTCGACATTAATATTTAAAATAACAAAAATAACCGAACATACCAACCAATATATACAAATTGTGTTTCATTTCATCTACTTTTATATAAACTATTATATTTGTTTTTAGCCAAACATAATATAAAAAATATAAATATATAGATTGATAAATGTAAAATAATAAAATATTTAGATATCAACACTATCCAATAAACAATATTGGGCATTATGTTATGCGTTGGGGTTTTGGTAATTAATGAATTATTAATGTGCATATACGTTATTGTGTACTCTGTTTATCGTTATTGTGCATTACAATGAATATTATTGTGCAAATATTAAAATTTTGGTAACTTATATTTTTAACCCAACAATCAAATTGAAATATATTAAACTTTCTCAATATTGCAACCAAGTCTTTGAAATTTGTCAAATAATCAAAAATAAACTCACAAATCAAAACTCCAATTTCCCACAACAGGCTTTCCAACCACCGGTGCTGCCGCTGCCCGCCGCCGGTGCTGCCCGACTCGTTTACTCCGGCAAAGCCGCGCTAGTGGGGGTGTCGTCGGTTTGTTGCAGCCTCGTTGCTCCGCCGACGGCCGCGATGTGGCTGAAGTACCGACCATGACGAGGATGGTCCTAGTCGAAGGTGTCAACCACGCTTCCATGACTAACGGCCTGTGCCACCACCGTAAGGCCAATGGAAGTTCGCCGGAATGCCGCCGCGACAGGACGGGGCTCGCCGCTGTGGTGGTGACGATACTGAAAGAGGCGGCGGGCTGCTGCCGCCGGCGACGGGTGTCAGGTGGGTGGTTGTGTGTGTATATGTGTGTGTATGTGAAGTGTGTGTGAGAGACGGTAGGCTAGTGTGTGAAGTGTGTGAGAGATGGCTAGGAGGGGACCGAGGGGTGTGGTGAGTGACGTGATTTAGGTGTAATAGGTGGGTCCCATGGGTATTGTATCTAATGACACATATATCCTTAATGAAGGGTCAAATACATATGTTTGACTGAGTGTTTGATCATTAATTAGTATAATTTTATTTAATCATATCCATTGATATGACAGATTGAGTGGTACAGATGCATATTTATTTCTTTCACTATGATTTTATTTTCATTTGAGTGCACTTATATATATATATATTTTTTTTTCTACTTTTTGTATGTATATTCAGTTGTGGAGACGATTAGGCCCTGCTGGGACAATCCTTCGCACCACAACACGCATTTTCTGGGCCTTTTTGTTCTCAAATTCTTTCTTGATGAAATGCTTCAAGAAAAATAAATTATATTTGGCCCTTATTCTGTGCTGAGAATATCCACGGCTTGCAAGACTATTGATGTGCCTGCAATTAGATTTAGGAACAAGTACAAGAAGAATGAGGAATATTATGAATATATAAGAAAATTTTGGGAACCTTCTCATATCTAACGGTGATTGCAACAACTTTGGCGCCTGTTTGTTTGTTTTGAGAGAATCAATCAGAAACTAAAGTACAAATATTGCTTCTCTTTGATTTTTATTTTTTCTTTTTTTTTCTTTTTTTTTTCTTTTTTTTCTTCTTTACAAAATTTAGTAAAAAACAATAATTTTGGAGGGTTATGGTAAGGCTGGAAATCTATTTATAGTGAAATTACTTGGATGTCAATTTACATTCGAAGAAGCGAAAGTCAGAATTAAGATTATGAGAATCTGTTGATGGGAGCTCACGAGCTACTTTACCAGATGTGGTTTCATGTTTGCGAAGGAGCACGAGGATTTGTTCAAAAAAAAATAATAATTAAAGCTTTAGTTTCAATGATTACAGTCCTTGATTCTTTAAATATTGTTACGAGTATAGGTTGGCAAAAGTCATTTTTTGTCCTCATCTCTGGTTAAATAAGTCGTGGTATCTTAACGGGTATCAAATACGCTCAAAAACATTAAATAAAAGTATACTAATCACGAGAGCGTGGTAAAAATTATTATTTTATTATATTTTGCTTTCTGATAGGATTATTAGTTGGTCTTTACAGTATCTAGATCACTTGATAATTGTTATTTGATTAACTATACAATTGATGAATCACATGACATGAGTTATGATATTGTTATGTATTTATAAGATGTTGATAGGAAAGAGAATATCGACAATCGATGAAGTAGGTCCGACTGATGTTCTTACACCAATGATGTTTTGATTTATTACTTAGCAAATAGCAGTTATGCAATTCTCTTTTTAAGCCTCGTTTACTTTCAGGGATAGGACATAGATTATTAAAGTAGTCATGGAATATTCTGCGTTTACTTATCGGGATTTGGATAGGATTGAGTGAGGTGACGCACATGTGGCATACACATTGCAATTGGAAATCAGCTATTGTCCGATAAAATTGTTATTGTGTTTTCTATAACGGCAATCAACAATGTTCCATTCATGTAATTGTACTTGTTCACTTACTGTGCTTTGTTTCAATTTGTTGGATGATAACATGCATATGCTCAACTCAACTCTCGAATAACCTCATAAAAATATGGTACAATAATATTGACAATACAGGGTAACCATGGAACCATTATTTACTGTGGATACGGGGACAGAGGGTGGCTCTACTTCAAGACGCCGTGTATGGACATCGACAGAAGAGCTAGCCCTTATAAATGCTCTTAAAGAGATTGTGTCCGAGGGATGGAAAATGGACAACGGCTTTAGGACGGGCTACACATTAGTCCTCGAGAAGAAAATGAAGACATCTCTTTAAGGTTGTCAAATTCGTGCTGAGCCGCACATAAGCTCCAAAATGCATGTATGGAAGAAACGTACGGGAATGAACCTCTAATTAAATGAACCTCGGGATTTGGTTGGAACGATATTTCCAAATCCTTCTCGTGCGATCAGGAGCGGACGCAGACTCTAAGAACAACGGGGGCACAAACTATGGTCAACAGTCAACACCGACGGTCAACGCCGAATGTCAACGGTCAAATCAATATCAATAGTTAACCAATTAAAAGAATGAAAAGATTAAATATTGACCAGACACTTTATTCTTTATTTAATAGTTATGGTTGAGTCTCACATCTCATTTTAAGAATATGAATACATTTGATCCTATATAGACATTTATGTATAATAATATTTATGTATTTTGGGAGGGAAAAGGAAATAAACAAGAAATTGAGCATAGCATAAGCATAAATTTCATAACTTAAAAAATAACATACTATTGAAGGTTAAATAATTCTAAATATACATTTTTTATTTTTTTTATATTAAAATAACTTTATAATAATTAAGAACATGTATTTTTTTGTCAAACAATAATAATAATAATATATATATATATATCACATATATATACTATATTATTAAAAAAATTCTATAGGGGCTGTGCCTTTACGAGCCCCTATGTAGATCCGTTGTTTCGTGCGATGATCAAAGGTGGGGTGCGTGGCTAAAGGTTAGCTCTGACTCAAACATTTAAGAAGAAAAAAAAAAAAAATCTGCGGGCACGCAATGTTTACTCATTATGGACAACTGGGCAATTACATCAAGATTTCATTTGATCAACCGATGATATGTTATATTTGCTTTTAAAAGGTCAACTTCTTGTTTCCAACCAACACTATGCCAGTTAGACATGTAGTAATCTTAATTTCTGAAGTTGTAGTAGGTTTTATTACCTGCCAAATAAAAGTAGTTGACTTAAATGAATTAGCATTATTTTGGGTTGATAAATCATTTTAATGCAATTAGAATGTAAACTTAAATAAATAGTTTACTTTCAGCTGTATTATCTGGTTCGTCAAACGATTATCTCATTAACAAAATATTAAGAATAATACTCTTAAATTCCTATTAAATTATAATAGATATTTTATTGGTAGATAATAAACGTTTTGACTTCTAATCTATACATATATAATAAGAATTACCATTTAACAAAAATAGTT